CACAAAAATCTTAATTTTCTTCAGTATCATCCCTGTGAACTTATATTAGTCTTGTCAGCCAAACCAAATCCAATCAAAACATTAATGTTTGGAAGTTTTGAATTGTTTTTAAATTTAAACTTATGTTTCCACGTCTTATTGTTCTGTATGTAATGTGCAATTATAAAAAGTTTTAAAATAGTTGCATAAGTTTTTATTTATCTTTGTTAAATTTTATGTTTAATCTTTCATGCTAGCCTGTAGAGATTATTTTAAATTTTGATTTTTTTAGTCTTTATGTGTACACATTTTGGAGGTACAGTGTGCCATATCATACATGTATACAATATGTAATGTTCAAATCAGAATAATTAGCATATCTGTCACCTCAAAGATTCATCATTTACTTTGTGTTTAAAACATCCAAAAAATTTTGATTCTTTTATTTGACATATTGGGTATCTCTTTAGCCTTTGGTCTGAAATTCAATAAGCACATATTTTCATTCTTCAAGTCACAAAATTGTAGTTTTCTATTTAAAAAGTACCTAAAATATCATAAAATTCAGCTCCCTTATTTTAGGATAAGGAAACTTGGGTTCAGACAGGATAAATAACTCTCTGATGGTTACACAACTCATTAACAGAAGGTTATGACCATCCTAAAAGATGGATTGGTAGAAAGTCTGTGAACCATGTCTGAGACACATATAATCACCAGAAACACTTGGTGGGTGCTAGAATATTGAACAATACACTTGGGGTACAATTGTTCAACTGCATGTGAGCATGCATTATTCTTCATTATTTCCACAGGTACTGACATATCTTAAAATCTATCAGACCTTTCACACTGTCAGATGAGAAGTAAAGTTGCCATGGAATAACTTGTTTTTAGTGAACCATATTGTCTACTTGTAATAAAAGATATTCATTTCTAAGTGATTAGTAAAAATATTTATCTATATCAGTTTATTTTCTAATTTGTGGTTTCTATAGTCCTTTTGCAAAATCAAAACATTTTCCCATTTCCCTTCAATATTTCCATTTTATTCAGTAAATCAAAATAAGTAATATATTGAAACACAAACCCAAATATCTGAAATTTTTAAATGTACCTAAATAATAAATGAGCCAACAAGGCTATTTAGAAAATGAAAGAAAACTTTTGTGCTATTGGGACAACCAAGCAAAAGTGTAGCTTCAAATGCTTTTATTGGAAAAGAGGGAAAATAAAGGCTGAATAAGTGAATGAATGAACCAAATATTCAATCTTGGAAAACACAAGGAAAAGAAAGAACAAAAAATGTATAAATTAGAATATAGAGAAAAATAATTTGAAATAAGTTGAAGTGATTCTTTGACAAAAATATAGCTAAGCATCTTTTTTATTGCAGCAAAGTGAAAATAAATATTAGATATTTAATATCATATTTTTAAAAATTATAGAGGAAGAAAGGAGATAAACTACGATGTTGTAAATATTTATATCCAGGAGAGAAAAGGTTGTGGAGAATTTTTATCAAAGTGATAATATGATAATGGTTTTTAAAAGCTTCAGAAGGTTTATAGAAATGCTATAAAAACAGGCCATGACTGGCAACTAAGGAGGCACTGGAGGCCCTGGAAGCTCTTTCAGTAGAGTGTGGACCAGAAAGCCAGGCTGCATGACATCAAGTGGGTAATAAGCGTCTGGGAAGAGACAGCCAAAATCACCTATTGTCAGAGTTTTAGATACTGAACATAAGGAGCTCAACAATGAATTCAGGTCAGAATTGGGTTCTGTTACAGGTATTTTGAGGAGATTCGTGGCTCCTCAGAAAATGCCCTGTTGGTACTCACTTAACTTGTTAAATGAGGTTGTATGAAAAGTAAGTCTTGGCACAATTTTAAAATAATCTCTCCTAAACAGTACTTTTTTAAATAACAGTAAATAGACAATAGTAATCAAAGACTTCAATTACACAAAATTGGTTACTCATTAGATTTGATATGCAGTGTCTTGTTAACTCCAAATTTCTCTTGCTATTTCAACACTGTTAACACATTGTACTCCATCTTTAATCCAGTCCAGTCCCTACTGTCCATCAGATCTCTGACAACTGCAAATTTTCATTAATTTAGCACACATAACTTAATCATATATATCTTAGCTATTGATAATTGTTGGAAGTTGTTTAATATTTTGCATGAAGAATGATGCTGTTCATATTGCAGATCTAAATTAGATAACTTTGACATAAAAACTGTTATGCCTAGAAAAACAGACAAGCTATGGATAGATTGCTTTCTCTGTATGACTTAGAATTGCTTATATCCTGAAGATACGTAGTCACCTTCAATCATTGTTTTGAAAAGAAATATTCTTCTAGAAGCTATGGGTAGTAGATTAGGAAGAACATGTTTAAAAAAAAAAAAAATGTTCAAAAAGGAAAACAGTGTTCATTCCCTTTTAAGAGCTATTCAGATGAAAAATGCTCAGCATAAGCTTGATCTATATGTTTTTCATGGTTATTAGTAGTAATGAAGATGCATTAACCATATTCTCTTGATAATGCTCTAGCAGCTTCTCAGTACTTTTATCAACATATAAATTTTACAACTGGCAATATGGGAATTTGACTAGTACATTTTTGTGTATAAAAAAGGGTAACAACATTATAATTTCTTAATATCTGGGAATTATGAATCCTGACTTGCAAACAAGCGAAACTAAAATGCAACAGAACTTTGGTATCATGATAACTTTACTTTATACTGTCACTCAGAGGAAGTGGGAATGTATACAAGCTGCTGAGTGGAATGTAATGCCAGAGGTGAATACCTAGTTAATCCAGAAATTATCAGTCTTTTCATTTCATTCATTCTTTTTTCTCAATAAACATACATTGAGTGCCTTCTCTGTTGATAACTTATAGTAAATGTAAAATTAAGAATGCTCTACTTCACTAGGAAGCACCTAAAAAATGAAAGTGAGTGGTGCATAATCACTTTATATCCTCATCTCCATTAGGAAATATCATTTTTAATAAATCTTGGAAGGACATTTAAATAGCTCAACTCTTTAAAGATGAAACTTGATGCTAAAGAAACAATTTGAAATTTTTTTATACTTCATTGAGTTATAATGAATAGATCTTTCTTTTATAAAGCTGAATTTCATATTTTAAATTTGATTTGTTCTACCTCCAAAGCAGTGTAAGTCTCCGATATCTAGGCCATAACATTAGCTAGTACCATTAGAGAAAACTTTATGAAAGGAAGAAGTCTGGTGTTCTTTCCTTTTTATTATAGAACTATGGATCCATTCTGTTTTATAGCAATGTCTAGTAATGCCAAGGTTATAGCTGTCATATAAAAAATAGAATTACCATGTAAGTGCTGCCAGCTAGATCTGGGAGAAGGAAATTATAGTAAAAATCAAGTTAATTAAAATCAAACAAGTAGATCTCTCAAAGTTGATTTTCAATTTTCCATTTTTATGAAAACAAAATGAGTTATTTCATTTCTATTAATGATTTGGGCAATAAAAACATAAACTTCAATATTGTCATGGAGTTGGGCTTCCTTTAAAACTAAAATAATCTATAATCATAACTGGTCTTCAACATAATAAACCTGAGACACTGCAAGATTCTCAGTCATTTGGGAATTGTTCATCTAACAGATGTTAACTTGGTGCCCGTTATTTGCCAGGCATAGTTATAATGCAGGTGCTAGGAAGGGACATAATTTGAGAGAGAGAGTAATGGTTAAGGGAGTTGATAGCTGCTGAGAGGTAGAGTCAAATAAGAATAGACCTTTGGATCTGCAATGTGAAGTAATTGGTGATCTTGAGGAATGGCTTTAGAGCAATAGCAAATAGGCACAACCAGAACTTAATGGACCAAAGACTGAGGAAGCAGAAGTGGCACCTTAATATACCTTGAAAACACATGTTATAAGCAGAGAAAGAAATGGGATGGTAACTTGAAAGGAACAAGGGTTCAGTAGAGAACTTAGTATACATATGCATATACTCACCATGGTTGTGCGCTGATGGAGATGATACAGTGAAGGAGAAAATGATGATGCAGGAGAGGAAGATGCAGGAATAACCGTCTCTGAAGGTCAGAGGAGATGGGATTCAAAGCACAAATGGAGAGGCTGGTCTTCCACTGTAGCAGGTGACAAAACAGACTGTGGGTAGATGCTGCTACCATTTAATAAATATTATTAATAAAGTACCTATGATGTACCAGGAAGTGGCAATATAGTAGTTGACAAAAATCCTTGCCCTCATGAAAGCTGCATTTGAATGGGGATTCAAGAAGGTGAATAAATGACGACCAAATAAATAAATGAAATATATAGTATGTCAGATCATGGAAAGTGCTATCAAGAAAAATGAACCAGGGATGTAGAGGAGGAGGATATGGAGAGCTGCGGCAAAGAGTAAGGATGATTCCAATTGTAGTGAACTGGGCACTTGACATAACTTCTAGGAATTTACTTCATGACTGTCAGACACATTTATTTTCAGAATCATAAGAAATTTGGCCTAGTACCCATGTGCCAGGGCTAAGAAATCTACTCTTAGCTTCATTTCATAAGTGCCCCCTTCTGTGAGGACCCGGGGACTTGCCTACCTCTCCTTTATAGTCCAGTCACAGGTTCTAAACATATATTTATTTATGTGATTATTTGATTAATATATTTCTTCTTTACTAGACTAGAAGCTCCAGGAAGGGAACTGTGTCTATTTTGGGCAATTACATCCTCATAACCCAGCACAGCGTTGGCTCTATTTGTTGAACGAGTGAATGAAAAGTAAATAAGACTTTTCCATAAGCTATGTTTTTAAGAATTTCATTATTTTATTATTCTGTAGTAACTTTTAATTTTTACTTCTCACTTTATATAGCTGGTCTAGTAAATGACCTTTTTCAAAGCAGGCAAGGTGTGCTTTTATACCAATTAATTATGTGGAATAGATTCATCCTCTAATGTAAATAATGCCTCTCCATTTCTTTTTTTTAACAGGACCAATGCCAAAGGTGCTCCCCTGAATATGAATAAGGTCTCTAATAGCCTGATTAATTTTGGAAGAAAGTTGATTTCCCCAGCAATGGCTCCAGGCAGTGCAGGTGGCCCTGTACCTGGAGGCAACAGCAGTAGCTCCTCCTCTGCTGTGATTCCCACCAGGACCTCAGCAGAGGCCCCAAGGCATCACTTGCAACAGCAACAGCAGCAGCAGAGGCTGATGAAATCAGAAAGCATGCCTGTGCAATTGAACAAAGGTAGGAAAAAAATACTAGTAAACCCGAGGAAGCATTCACAGTGTAGCCTGGGATTTCTTCACTTGCTCTGAGGAACCAACTTCCTAGAATAGAAATTAATGCAAAACGTACTTCTTAAATATGTTATATATGATTCTTTTAAAGTTGGAATATTAGATACTGTGTTGGTCTTAATAACATTTTATGAGGTAATTTTTTTAACATTTATATCCTAGTATATTTGCAATTTTGTTCTGTAAATGCCCATATAGTATGATAGCATGAATTAACACAACACAGAAGTTGAGGGCAGTTGACTGTATTCTCTGCTAACTTTGTATAGTAATGCTTCTGACTAGAAGAGAAACCAAAATGAGACGTTCCAGTACCATGGGCTTCACTGGTCACAGCATTCATCGGTGCATTGCAGTTGTTTGGAGGAAGTGGGCCACTAGGCTTGCAGTCTCTCACCCAGCTGCTTCACTTCTAAGGAATACCAACTAGAATCTTAAGCAGGGGGGAGGGTGAAACTAAACAAAATTTCAAGCAGCCAAGATAAGTATATGAGTCTATAAACTAAAAGTTAGAACCACAGAATGTTAGAGCAGAGGATACCTGGGAGATTGTCCAATCCGTATCTCACCGGCTGAGTGACGGCACTGCTGTTGGTAGCACATTTTCTACTGGTACTCGGGTAAGCTCATCTCTGTGTCAGGGCCATTCCAGAGCTTCACCTCACTCATGTATTTTATTCATCAGAGAGCACTTCAGGTATTTTTGAAGAGTCATAATGTATTGGGTCCCCCTTTTCATAACAAACTGGAAACAGCTACATTTATTTTTAGTAGTAGGACTCTGCTAACTGTACTCTAAAAGCAAGAAGTTGTAAATGATGGCAAAAAGTATTTAAAAAGCAACCCTAAGACCTCACAAGCAGTCTGGGGACACTTAGTGTCAGAGCAGACATCCCGACCCAAGTATCATTCATGTCTTAAAGGGATCCCTCTTTATATTGGTGTTCACTAGTAAGTATTGACAATAACGTGAGTAATATTGTCAGTAAGAAGACTTTAAAACTATGTTCCATGTACTATGTTTAAGGAGATTACATTCTAAATTTGTTTCTAATTTTACATATTGGCATTTAAATTGGTTAACTTATGTTATGGACTTGCTTCCCCAATGATATAAATGTTGAGTATTATTCAATAATAAGTGTGTGTGCATGTCTGTATTCCCCTATTGGTTAAGTTATGTTATCCTTCTACTCTCTTTTTATTTGCCTACGGAAAATATTAGATTTTATATAATTAGTATTTAAATTTTTATGAGAATATTCAATTTACTCTGCATAAGAATATCTCATTGAAAATTACAATATTTTCTTTTTAACATAGAGTTGTCACAAATGATTTTTTTAAAAAGAGAACAAATCATTAGCATGCTGTAAATGTATTTTAATGCCAGGAGATATACCCATTTCCAGAATGGAAATGAATGTTATTTTACATATTTCTTAATTGTACTGTTTTATTGTTCTAAACAAATATGATTTCAATGTTGCTTTGATAACGAGCCATAGTCAGTAGTAATTCTAACTGATGGCAGGCAAATGAGTCAGAGAATCTCTTAATGTTGTAGCTTAAATTTTCTGAGGAACTAAGCCAAATGACTAGAAATATAAAGTTGTGTCTCCAAGGAAATGTCAAGTATTAATATCACACAGTAAGTGAGAAAGGAAGTACATGGAGATGGAACAATTGATGAAAACCAAGTCCCCAGTTATAAGGAGACCACAGAGCACTTAAGAAAGTATTTGGAACATGATCATCACTAGGGCATTTTAACTGATCCCTGTGCTGAAAGAAGTAGCCTTGTTTGGCATCCCTTCTATATTTTTACTTCTGGTTTGTTCTTCTCATGTCAATCTACCCAAAAAAAAAAAAACCCAAAAACTTTCCTAATTAACTTCAGATTAATCATAAATGTTCCTGCTAATGCCCCTTCCCACATAAATGTTTGAATGAAACAAAAGGCAAACAAAAGAGTTTATAGAAGTAGAAAATAGAAGATAATGTAGTTTGCTGCTCTTCCTCTATTCATCCAGTGATGAACCCTAAGCCACACCCTGAAGCTCTCTGACCCTCGTTTCCTCACCCTGAAATAAGAGATTTGAGCTGATCCCTGGAGAGTCTCCCGACTCTAAAAATGTGTGGTTCTTTTGGTAGAATATGTATTGATTAACACTGCAGTGAAAAATACTTCTCCAATATTGGTTCTTTATGTTGTATTTCCCACACGTATTCTGCTGTGCTGTCAAACTGACAGAGCTGCAAGTGTATCACCTGGTGCCATAGATCAGTGAACACAATATTTAGCCTGTCAGGAGGCTTGCGTTGCAAAGTGATTTCTGTCTCAAAACAGAGTCATCTACTTAGTGCCTTTGAGGAAAGATAATGTAATAGCTTTTTAGTATACTCTGCTGGAAATTTGAAAGTTGTATTGAAAAATGGTTGTTTATAAAGATGAAACTGTTTATGGTTTTCATAATCAGTTAACTTTCAATTATTTGTGCTAATATAAGAGGACATTTGTGTTTGCAACCCAAACTCACATGTGTTGCTTGAAGTATATTCTGTAGTTTGTATATGTGTTGGGGTAAGATAGTGAAGGAGCAGCACAGATGTTCCCTATAATTTTTTTGGTGATATTTATATTAAAATGAATCATCAGTCTCCAAGCATATATTAATAGGTGATCTAGAAGCAACAGAGTAAAACAGGTAGCAGGCATGGAATTGAAAATCTCCTTCAAATATACAGAAAGTAGCACACATTTATCAATGAATTTAGAGTTTGCATATTATGAAGATCTGGGGTCTATTTCCACTAAAAGCTGTTTATCATTTGTTTGTGGTATGTCCCTACTTATAGATTTTATTTCAATTATAGGAGACCAAATGTGTGTACTGTTAATTGATGATGATGGTATAATTACAACTTAACAATTTCCAGGTTAGCTGGGCTGTAAGTCAGTAGTCAGAACACTGAAGATATGTCATCTAACTCAAAAATTGATTTTTTTTACTACCATATATATTATATAAAAGCTAAAGGGGAAACAAGTCTATTAATCATAAATGATTATACATAGAAAATATGATGCTTTTTTAAAATGCTTTTTTCTTTAGCTTGTTAGTCTGAAAATAGCATAGGCCTTCAGATGGTGATATATCCAGAGGATGATTCTGTTGAAGTGACTGTGCTTAGTGTTGAACTTTGTCATCCAGGAAGGAAATCAAAGAACCAAAACGTTCTCCCTCCAAATGTCAGTGCAACTCAGGTTCTTCATGAGATATCCTGTTATGCTCCTTTTCCTTTCTTATATTCTTAAAATGCACTTGGTGTTTTTTTTTCTGTTTCCTTTGTCTATATTTTAAATTGCTTTTTGAATTTGAACATGTCATTATTTTAAGCACTTACTATAAGTCCAATTTGTAAATGAAATCTTGCCTATAATAAGTATATCAAGTTAAGGGTATGCAGTTCACAGATTTATTTTTGCATGTTGACATTTATAAGTACATGTGGTAACTTAAGAAATCTTTTCATTACTTGATATGAAATTAGAACTTATTTAGGTCCTTATCACTGAAGAAGTTGGTTTCAAGTTTAGTTAAAAATAAATTTTGTCTGATATAGGAGGAAATCAATTTCAAAAGAACACCTATTTTTAAATAAATGACACATAACTTACTTTTAGATGAAAGAAAAAATATAAAATCACACCAGTATTTGTAGCATCATGAAATATGCTCAGCAAAATCTTTTGATTCCTATACTCTAGACTGGTTGAAGTTTGTTTGTGTTTTCTTTAAGAAAAACAAACATAAAACACTTTTAGGAAACATGCTCTTAAAGATTATTTTCTTTAAAAATATTTTGTATTAATTTTTCTAAGCTTGTGCATTATTTTTGTTTGTACTATCTTTTTAGTAATTTGATTAAAGTATTAGAACATTCAGTATAAAAGAAAAGTGAAGTTGATTATTTCCTTTTCATGAAATCTAATTATTTTTTCTTATGAAATCCAGGCGATGTAGTTACAGGAAGCGATGATCAGGTTTCTGTTCCTGTCCAGACTCTAACTGACCTCCAAGGTACAGTTACCATAACAACATAATTTTTCTTTATCTTTGCCTACATTATTATCATTGCCTACTCCAAAATTCCATTTTTCTTTTTGCCCACCCTCCATTCATACTGTTTTCAATTCACTACCATTGTTCAGCCACTGAGTGGCACTATTGTTTAGAACAAAAGTCCCTTTTCATGTCATACCTTGGTGATGCCGAATATGGCTGTGATGTGGGTTTTCTATTAGGTCTGCACAAGCCTCTTTGCAATCTATGATTCACCCTATATTTTGTGGTTATTTTAACACACTATACTTAGTGTGCCAGCTAACACTGAGGTGTCCTTTTTGTTACACTGGTGCTCTGTGACAATATTTGACCAATTAGTTCTGAAATTAGACATCTTATGTGCTATGATTAGCCAGAAATACTTACATTTTACCTGAAAAATCCAACCTGATTTTGAAATGTTTTTAAGTATAGCCTTTGAATTATGAATTATATTAACACAAAGTACAGTGTAGCAAATCTTCATATATGGTAACTGGCAATGGTTTTTAAAAAAGGAATGTTTATCATATCCATTTGTTCAAAATGTAGAAAAATATATAGTTTTTAAATAAATACAAAAGTTATCCACCTCCTGTGCAATTTTAAAACATATAAATATTAAGAGGCTACATTCATCTTTTATTATGCAGTCTTTTAGATGTAATACGCCATAGAGAGGATTCCTGTGTTAAATGGAAGCCTAGAGTAACTTTAAGAATCTTCTCGACCGGGTGGGGTGGCTCAAGCCTGTAATCCCAGCACTTTGGGAGGCCGAGGCGGGTGGATCACGAGGTCAAGAGATCGAGACCATCCTGGTCCACATGGTGAAACCCCGTCTCTACTAAAAATACAAAAAATTAGCTGGGCATGGTGGTGCGTGCCTGTAATCCCAGCTACTCAGGAGGCTGAGGCAGGAGAATTGCCTGAACCCAGGAGGCGGAGGTTGCGGTGAGCCGAGATCGCGCCATTGCACTCCAGCCTGGGTCACAAGAGCGAAACTCCGTCTAAAAAAAAAAAAACAAAAAACTTCTACTCCAATTCAGACTAAAATGATAGCAGTATTAATTAAAATCCACATCATGTTTCTCTTAATTTAAAATATCCACATAATATGGTCATTCTAGGAATATTAAAATACTGTTTTAATAATGATATGGCCTCATATTATCCAAACTTTTTTATAGAGAACAGAAAAGAATGGGTTGTGATTAAGAGATTGATGTATTGGGTTAACTTAAAAGACAAAAAACCACCATATTGTGGCAATAGAGGAGTAAGCTTTCATTTCTATATATAGTTCTGTGTCTCACAGGTATAGTTTCTGGCAGTATTCTGGTAATTGAAACAGATGAACTTTAAGAGCTTTTCTAGCTCAAGGATTCCATGAAGAGCTGTTCGCTCTTGCTGTCTGTTAAATGATTTACATAATAAAGGAGTATAAAAGTATGGACAAGAGTAAAGGCAGATTATGTCTACAGGATTTATCTTTAGCTTTGCACTTAGATGAATATTAATGTGATCATCTTATATGGTGAGAATTTACAAGACTTAAATTTGTTTCCTAAAATTAAACTGAGCCCCACAGACAGTTTTCAACATGTGTTTTGTTGTCCCAATGTTAATTGCTACAGAGTAGATCTTTGGCTTCTTTGCAAGACATGGGATATGGAGCCCAATTTATACCTATAGAAGGAAAAGCTGAGGTTGGCTTGCTTAGATATTCTGACTTCTGCTTCTATGCTATTGCTGAATCCATTTTTTTCCTATAGACCAGAGATACCAGAGCAATGTAACTGTTTAAATAGAACTTTGAAGAGGGAGGTTATATTGTTTTGTCCAAATACCTTGTGTTTTATGAGTAGAATTATCTCATTCATTTATTCAACAGGTATTTATTGAGTGCCTGCTGTGTATTAAGCTCTGTTTTCATTGGTCCCTTGGCTTTCCCTACAGCTTTATCTGGTTGTTTGGGCATTACCTTTACTTTAGATGACCCAGTTAAGCCTACATAGTCGGGAACCAGCTCTTTTACTAGATACCCTATTCAGAATCGCATCTGCCTCCCATACTCTAACAGAGATTTTTATCAGTCTGATAAGGAAAGTTCCTGCTACTTTAATAGATGTGAATCACAAACAGCTTTTAGTCTGTGGGGATGATTTTGACAGTGATAAGCAATGAGAGTACACCTACCTGATTTGGGGAAGTCACTTTTTGTCTTCCTCAACATACTTCCTGAAGAGTGCCAAGAAGCAAGGGAAAGTAGAAGTAAACCAAAATAGTGGTAGCAGCAAAAAAAAAGTTCTGTGTATGCTTAATATAATCAGTGCCAAGGAATTCAACTATTTCGACTTTCCATGTGTCTTTTTCAAAGCAATGAAGTAAATTTCAAGAATTAAAGTAAGTATCAATACTTTTGATGATTCTTTGATTACAGTCTTTTTTTAAATGAGATTTTATGTTCACTTTTAACACAGCAGTTACATGGGCTTTTATTTTTGAGAAACAACCTGAATGTAAAGTGAGATTCCACGATTTAGATAGGTAATTTTTAGAGAATTATTCAAAAGTTGCATTTTGTATCTTACAGTGTAGGCTGCAATCACACAGAAATACAGCCACAGCAGCTTTGTTTTTCAACGACTTGACTCAGTAAGATTCTTCAAAATCAGTTTTACACATTACATATTTACCCCCAGAAACCTTTGTCAAGAGATACTTAGAAATTTATTCACTAATCAAAAAGCTTTAAACACCAGTACACACACAAGACACATGGTATTTTTAAAGAGAATCCAGAATTTATAACAACAGAAGTACAGTCAGCCCTCTGTATTCATGGGCTTCTCATCTCTGGATTCAACCAACTACAGGTCAAAAATATTTAGAAAAAAGAAATGAGTCTCTACTGAACATGTACAGACATTTTCTTATAATTCCCTACACAGTATAGTATAACCACCATCTACATAGCATTTACATTGTACTAGGTATTATAAATAATCCAGAGATGACTTAAAGTATAAGGGAGGATATGCACAGGTTATTTGAAAATACTACTGGCGGGTGGATCACGAGGTCGGCAGATGGAGACCATCCTGGTCAACATGGTGAAACCCCGTCTCTACTAAAAACGACAAAAAATTAGCTGGGCACGGTGGGGTGTGCCTGTAATCCCAGCTACTCAGGAGGCTGAGGCAGGAGAATTGCCTGAACCCAGGGGGTGGAGGTTGCGGTGAGCCGAGATTGCGCCATTGCACTCCAGCCTGGGTAACAAGAGTGAAACTCCGTCTCAAAAAAAAAAGAGACTATAGCATCCTCAGATTTTGATTTTGGTATGCACAGCAGTCCTGAAACCAGTCTCCCATGGATGCTGAAGGATGACTAGATTTAGGTATTAACATACAATGGACCATTAGGAAAGAAATTCAGATTTCTTATATAATTTCCATAGGCATCTTTAAAATTTATATTTGTATATATTTATTTGTTATGGATGTAAATATGCACACACATACACACAGATATCTTTATAACATCAAATTGTTTTAAATATAAACAGGTAAAAAAGAATCTTCCTTTCCAGGTAACCACTGTTGATATTCTTAAGATAAAACTAAAATATATTACATTAGATGATTCCAATTAATTAAAAGTATGTGAAGAAAGGGGGCGTGCCCTCCATTTTCTCCTCCCACCTTTTTGCCAGCCCATTTCCCCAAGGGTAAACCATTGTTAGGTTTCTTGTGCTTCCTTCCAGGAGAAAATAAATACATATTAAATGGAGGTATAATGTGGGAGTCACATTAATGTGGTAAGAGCTCACTTATTTAGAGGTGACTCTTTCTGGACCATCAAGGAGAAAGCACCAACAAAAATGTCCCAGTGTCAATGAAAAGCAGCAAGTTGGTAGAACAAGGAGAGGGATATTAAGTCAACCAGAGTAGGACAGAGTAATGACAAGAAAAACAGACAGTTTCCACTCACAAGAGTGAGGGAAGAAAAATATCAAAAAAATGGTCCTCATAGTTGGCACTACATTGATTGGCTGCTCTTTTGTTGAGATGTGATAGACCTGAAACACAACAAGTAGTTCCATTATGGTCAGTATAGTCACTTTAAGGCAGAGAAATAGATGTAAAATGAATTTGGGGAAGCGTTGGTTAGCTAGAAAATGCATTTTTGTGGAACATCTATTCCAAAAGACATTGGATAAATGAGTTGTTTTTGGACTGAAAACAAGATCAGAATTTGCCCTTTACTTTCAAAAGGCCTCATTCCATTTTGCTTTAATCTAATTTTAGGTCACATTTACATCAGCCCACTTGGCACAACCCTTATGAGAGGGGGAGGGCGATACAGCTTTGCCTAGCATGGGCTCCGGAGTCAAGCCTGCGTTTGATTTCAGGCTCCATCACTGGCTTGCTGGATGACCTGGGGAAGTTACTTAACCTCTTACTTGTAAAGAGAGAATAAGAGCAGCTACTTCAAGGGTTGTTGCTGGACATCATCACAGCACCTGTTGCATAGTGAGGGCACCGTAGTGCTACCTGCCCGGGTAGTGGTGATGATGGCACCATTATACCTCTCTTTCAGAATCAAATAATGAAGGAGCTCATTCCATACATCTTTCTTTTCTTATTACTTGCGATATTCTAAAAGCACATGTCTGCATGCAGGTACCCAATCCAAGAGTGTTTGACTTTTGTGGTTAGGCTACAGAATATCTATTTCAGGGGCTTCAAGTACAACCTGCTTCCATTCACTTTTGTGGCAGCAAGATGCATGTCTTTAATTATTAGACATTCGCCTTCTTGCTGTCTGTCACTCAAGTGTGCAAGGAAACAAACTGTTACTATATAGGGCCCAGATGACTCTTTGTTTTGGTCACTATATAAAGTCAAGGTTACGCCCTTTCTGTGGACACAGCACAGGGGTTCCCAGGCTTTTCCCTTCCTGCTCTTCTAAGCTAT